GGGGGCTGTCAGTGATGTTTAGTTTAACTCTGACTCATGCTAAGCTACTGTGAGCGATCAGAATCAGCCGATGGTGGTTGAAGCGATCTGGATGTGAATTTCAGAATCTGTGTGTGCTGTTCTTGTGTTTCCTCCCACCTGCAGTCAAAGTGTTGAAACTGTACCTGTGTCTGACCTCTGACCTGTGTCACCATTAAAACCTGCCCTAACCTGGAGAGCAGCTGCTCACCTGTGTGCGCTTACCTGTCCATCACAGTGTCAGGCTCACAGACCTGTGTGTGTGTCTGTGTGTGTGTTTTCATGCTTCTTATCTTTCATTTCCTGACTTCTTGTTGCTCCTAAAAGGAACGCGGCGCTCCGTCAGGTGGAAAGGCAAACAGGAAGTGTCTGTGCAGCAGTTCACACGCAGCAGCGTTATCAGTGTTAGCTCAGATGTTTTGTAGTTCAGGCAGGAGGACATGCTGTCACTGAAAGCTGCTGACTCGGGTTCAGGACGTGTGTGGACCTCGAAGCCAAAGGTGAGGTCGGCCTGCTCGCCCCACCTTTTACCTGAAATCATCTCCACAGCTTCACTCTGACACGCTAAGCCTCAACGTTTCCTCACATTTCAACTCAAATCAGTGAAAGGAAGAATAATGTGTGAAGAGACGCCTCGCTGCGTGACACTGCGCCCTCACAGGCTCGTGTGTGTGTAATTACATGCTGTGACAGCAGATCACAGCTGCTTCAAAACATTTCCTCCTGCTTTGAAATCTGAATAAACTCATGCAGAGCTGATCCCTGTGTGTGTGTGCGCTCATCAAAGGTGTGTGACTCTGTTTCTGATGTGGTCGTGCGTGTGTAAACAGGCAGGAAGTGCTTCACCTCGGTGTCTCTGACCCTGATTGATGGTAAATAACAGAAGAAAACATTTCAAATGTGCTGCTAATGTCCCCACAAACACGCCGCGGCGTGCGCGGGTCTCTGATCGTCCCTCGTGCGCTGACATGCTTCCTCCTGTGAGTGAAGCGTGAGCTCACTGTGCAGTTATCTGAAACCTTTAATGACACTTCAGCTCGTTTAATGCGCAGTCTGCTGTGTAGGAGTACGACATCATCTCTTTGTTTATCCATCTTCCTGTGATTCATCATCATCTGTCAGTCATCGATCCTTTCATCCACCCAAACACCAAACAGTAACCCATCCGTCCATCATTGGTTAAT